ACCCTAAAACAAAACTAAAGTTTCTTAATGATGATTATTATTTTTAAAGTAGTTACAGGAGTCAAGGATGTAGCTCATTGGTAACTACACAAATGTTACCTCTACCTTCCCCTTTTTATTAAAACCAGAAAGTCAACCACTCTATAAACACAAATAAGAGAAAAGAACACACCATGTCCTTACAAAAAAGAGCAAACAAGCCTCACTGCCTACCAGAAAAAAAACCAAAAATCTAGATAATCCATTCGTGTCCCTTACCACAAAGCTGAATGAATGGCTATAGAAATTAATGAGTTTTGAATACAAGGGGCCCATAACAATAACAAAACTAGTAATAATAAGCTAAAATCTTTTTGAGCAGCTACTGTATTAGGCATTAAGTGTTTTATATCCATTAACTCTCAATCCTCCTAAAGAATATTACTCTTAAGATCCCAAACACATAGCAATTAACAAATTTAAGTCACAAAGTAAATAAATAGCAAAACCAAGAAAGGGAAATTGACAGTTCTTTCAAGTGTAATTTGGCAATTCTCAATAACCTTAAAATGTGCTGCTTTTGACCCAGGAAGTTCAGTGCTAAGAATGTACTCTAAACAAACAGATCTGGATACTACCTTGATATTTAATAACAAGAGACTGGACCGTTCTGAATTAAACACATGCATTTATCTCCATTCCTTTGTAAAATACCACAATAAAAGTTCAGGGATGAAACTAATAAAAGCCACAAAGATAACAAAAGTAGAGAAGAAAGAATGAAAGGAGATGAGAAATACCAAAAAGTTGTGGGAGATACAAAGCACAATGATGATTAAGCCAGATATGCCAATGAAAAGTGAACTAACGAGTTCCCTGGACCCTGGGAGAACATAAAGTTGAAAACTGCCGGGCACAGCAGTGCATGCCTGTAGTCCCAGCACTTGAGAGGCTGAGGCCGGAGGATCACAGTGACCTTGAGGCCAACCTGGTCTACACAGTCAGCTCAAGGTCAGTCTAAGCAACACAGTGAGACCCTGTCTCAAAAAATCATAAAGAAAATAACAAAAGCACCAAAAAGTAAGTACCACAGTTAAGTGAAGAATGTCATACATGTACACATATGTATGCATATATGTGTATAGATATATATATCTTAATATATATGAATCAAGCAGCCAAAAAAAGTACAGGCAGGGCATGGTGGCTCATGCCTGTAATCCCAGCACTTGGGAGGCTGAGGCAGGAGGATCGCTGTGAGTTCGAGACCAGCCTGAGCTACATGGTGAGTTCCAGGTCAGTCTCACTACATAGTGAGACCCTGTCTCAAAAAAACAAAAAAAAAAACAAAAAACAAAAAACAAAAAAACAAGTACAGAAAAAGTAACAAGTTATACCTAAAATCGCAAGCCTAATTATGTAATCATATTACTTGGCTCCATAAACAACATTATTTATATATTCCTAATAAAAATAAATAAAACTGTGCTCAATCTTCACTCAAACAAGCCACCTATAATCCCAGCAGTTAGGAAGCTAAGGCATGAGGATCGCTGTGAGACTGTAAATTCAAGGGCAACCTGAACTACATAGTGAGGCCCTGCCTCAAAAGAAACAAACAAACAAAAACCAAAAACAACAAAAGTCTTGTCCATGAGTCAGTAGCTTCCCAAAACAAATAAAGAAACAGCGATTTTGTTATTTAGAAATGTAGAAGTAAATACCAGAAGATACTGGTTGTATTAAAAATAGACAGATATGGCAAGGAAATCCTATTTTAGATTAAACTTTTTAATACTGTTCAATTTTTATACTATACATGTTGCAGTAAAGTTGTTCAAAAGATAAATACGAACCTGTAGCAAAAATTTATTGAATATCCAGAAAAACACAAATGAAAGATAAATTTCCTATAAATCTACCAATCATAAGAAATTGTTGGGCCGGGGATTTAGCTCAGTGGTTCGGTGGCCCGCCTTGCAAGCCCAACAACCCGAGTTCAATCCCCGGTACCAAAAAAAAAAAAAAGAAAGAAAGAAATTGTTGTTCTATGCCTATACAGCAGTATCCTGGTTCACAAACTTGATTCTCGCCACAATTTTGGTTGTAAACCAAGTTAGACAAGAACCAAATTAAATTCAATGGTTACATTCAATGTTGACCTTATGGAGAAATTTGCTTCAGTTCTTAACCAGTTTAGTTTGTGATCAGAATGGTGGAGAGAACTGAGTTCATGAACCGAGGTACCACTGTATTTAACCTACATATTTTAGAAAATTGGGCTCCCCCTAACTATTGTAACTGACATTTTCACTTAACTACTCTACACCAAGTTTTAAACATGATCTTAATTAATGTGTTCTTAGGACAGGGTTAGTCACACCAAAGTACATGAATCTGTAATTATTTGTTTTGTTCAGAGATGAGGAAGAATTAATTTCTTCTCTTGAAAAAGATTAATTATTTATAATAAATTAGCTTGCTCAGTCCAAAAATTGTTTTGCCTCAAGACAAAGAATTTTCACAATATATTACTAATTTTGGGTTTTGTTTTGTTTTTTTGGTTTTTTGAGACAGGGTCTCACTATGTAGTTGAGACTGACATGGAACTCACTATGTAGCCCAAGCTGGTCTCAAACTCACAGTGATCCTCCTGCCTCAGCCTCCCTAGTGCTGGGATTACAGGTGTGCGCCACCATGCCCAGCAATATATTACTAATTTTAAAAAACAGGCTACAAATGATCCCTAATTTATTTTTTAAAACATAAAGAACATAGGAGAGAAAGCTAAAAACACCCAAACACTAAAAAATATATAATAGCTACTTTCTTAGTAGCAGGATTATGGGTCATCTTTATTTTCATCTTAGTGCTTTTTACTTTGTAATCTTTATTTTCTTCTTAGTGCTTTTCTAACTTCTTCCATGGTAACTGCTATTACTTTTGGAAATGAAAAAGGTAGCTAGCTTTACAGTCTTAAGAAATTAACATCAGTGTCCTAAACGTAAGATAGCAAGGGTGTGAATACCTTACATATATGACAGTAAGACATGTTTTTACATCTTCTGCAGATTTCACACTGCAATAAAATGTATTTACATCAGCCTTTAAGTCTTTTGTTCTTTCATTCAGTAATTACTGAACTTCTATTACGTGCCAGGCACTGTTCTAGGTACCAAGGATTTGGTAATGAGCAAAACAGATGACTTCTCAATCTCTCTTTGACACTTATCAAAAATACACTTTTATTGGCAATATAAACACAAGCATACAAAACACACCTCTACTTCCAAGGATGATTAGAAAAGGAAAGGACAAAGCGGAAGAGCAAAACTACACTGGGAATTCACAATTCTTTTAGTTATGGAAGACCTCTGAGGAAGTGACACTGCATTTAAGCAAAGATCTGAACAAAATGAGGAGGTGGGCAATGGAAGGATAGGGAGGACGGTCTAGGGAGAAGGAATATATAGAGAAAAGACTGAGATGTGAAGAGTCTGAGATGCACACGAACAGTAAAAAGACCAGTAGATATGTAAGTCAGTTACTTGGATGTAAGCTTGGGTTGAAGGTGTAATTCCAGTGGTGCCTCGGTTCATGAACTTAATTCATTCCACAATTCTGGAAAAGATGGCCATGGTTGTGTTTATCACCTGATGCAGAGTTCACAAACAAACAAAATTTTGCCCGATTCTTCTGTTTGGGAACCAAATTTGCATTCATGAACTGAAGTATCACTAGAGAAACAAACAGAACTACATAATATATGCTAGGGCATGAAGACAGAAGGAAAACAGAAGAGGGTCCTGCGGCCCATCACCATTAAGAGGTCAGTGAGAAAAAGAAAATTCCAGTGAGGTGCCTCAGAGGCCAAGGGGAGTGTTTCTAGCAGTAGCCAGGGATCCCTTGGGTTGTAGCTACTAATGAGTAAGTTAAGGACTGCATATGGTGACTTTGATAGAAGTGACTTTAGTAGAGTGATGGAGAAGAAAGTTTTATATACATTCAAGAAAGAATTTAAAGGGCTGGGGATTTAGCTCAGTGGTTTCCCTGCCTGCCTCACAAGTTCAAGGACCCAAGTTCGATCCCCGGTACCAAAAAAAAGAAAGAATTTAAGGACAACTGGGTACCAACAACTCTCATGTTATCTTATTTTAGGGATGATACAGCTGAGCATGATATTCCTAGTACCTCAGTAACTCTTGGCATGGAGTAACTGAACCAAGTTACAGGATGAATGTCAAATCTGAAAATTCATAATGCTTCAAACTAAATTAAGAAACCCAAAGAGCAAAGAGTTCAAGAGTTTCTTGCATGCTCCACTTATTCCTATCCTCCCATGAATGAGAATGAACTGCAGAAACATGAAATTTTTTCTCTTCATCTTTAACCTGCATAATTACATAGCATTTTGGTAAGAGGCTGAACTAAGAAATAAAAGAGGAGACTTCCCTTTCTGCCCCCTAATTTCCTAGAGGTTATGTGTAACTAAAAGTTAAGGGATAAATTATGAACATGTTAGCTACGTATGGTGGTGCACAGCTGTAATCCCAGCAGTGAGGGAGGTTTAGGCAGAAGGATAGCAATTTTGAGCCCAGCCTGGGCAACTCAGGGACTGAGTAAGCTACTGGTTCAATCCCTGGTACCAAAAAAAAAAAAAGGAAAACTGTCATCAAGGAGTTTATAAGGAAGGAAGGAAGGAAGGAAGGAAGGAAGGAAGGAAGGAAGGAAGGACAAAACAAGACAGACAGACTGAGCATGGTGGTGCAGGCCTGTAATCCCAGTACTCAGGACACTGAGGCAGGAGGATAGCTGTGTGTTCAAGGCCAGCCTGAACTAAATAGTGAGACCCTATCTCCAAAAATGCAGCAACCCAGTCATGTAAACAAAGTATTTCAAACTCTCTGCTAAGACCTTACAACAACCAAACATCTTTCAGAACACAGGTATCTTTTTCTCAAAATGCAGCAGTGAAGCCCTTTGTGGAACAGACAAATACCCAGAAGACTTAAATTTCTTACCTGACATAACATCCTCTGCTAACTCCTTTTCTCTTTCAATTTTTTCCTCTAGAGTTGAAATGCAGAACTCATAGCCAGCAAGAGCAAATTCTTGTCTGTGAAACAAAGATCAATAGTCAGCCATTTACCTCAAACTCTTCTTTGGCCCTCATATTTTCCAACTCAGTAAAAGAGGGACCCTGTTTAATGTCTCTTCACAGTCACTCTGCCATTTCTCTGTTTCATTTTTCCTAAAGTCATCTACTTAAGGCAAATTAAGACCTAAAAAGCTATGAGTGCTGCTAAAATTTTCATAACTAGCATAATGGGAAGTCTTTCAGCATCCCCCAGTAAGTTTCATGAATTAATTTCTCCAAATGGGAATGCCTCACACCTGGTCAAAGTAACACTGGCCTGCACATGAGTCTCCCCCTCACACAAACTGGAAGTGAATCAGCTCACCCCTGCATGGGAGGACCCACCTTTGGCCCTCATGCAGCTTTTGGGGAGCTTTGATTGCTTAATACTTACCCTAACCTTTAGGTCTTTGCTAAAAGTCTCTTACAGAAATGGAACTGCTAGCTATGGTGTGGGAAGATATTTAGCCCAACTCTATAGCCCCAGATCCACAGTCAACTACTGAGGGCACCCAAGCAAGCAGATTCACTCCGCTGCCCATTTCCATAGAGAAATGAAGAGGAACACAGCAGAAAATTCCCTCACATAGGAACTCAGCTTTCATTCTTGCTCTTCTTACCAGAAGTGCCACTACAAAGCTGATTAATCTCTAATGCTTTGCAAGGTCTTGCTGTTCTACTCTGTTCTCAGAAGAATAGAAGTGTCTTCTTCCTATACTGGACCCAAACCTTAAGAGGGACCATCTCTAGCCAGGATATGAGGGAGAAGAAGACTGCTATAAGAGGCTCCCAGGCAGAGCAAAAGGTCTACAAACAACTCTCCTCCCTACTCATATCAGACTTTCAGCCTCAAGACCTGGCCATGGCTTTTTTTTTGGCGGGGGGGGGGTTGACAAGAACTCACTATGTAGTTCAGGCTGGCCTTGAACTCATGGCAATCTTCCTGCCTCTGTCTCCCAAGCACTGGGATTACACACACATGCCACTAAGCCTGGCTTGGCCATGGCTTCTTTTAAATGCTCATGTTTCTGAAAAGTACAGAATAACTTAGAAGCTAATCATTAATGGATACCTCAACAGCTCTGACTTCTATAAGACCAATTATGAATCTAACTTATTTGCCAGTGTTTTTGGCTGTGGGCTTATTTCAGGAGTTCAGACTTTATCCTGTGTGTTACTCCTATAAAGAAAGCAGCCCAGCTGCAATGCTCCTTGGCACCGGCCGAAATCAAAGCTCCTCAAAAATCCTAAAGTCAAAGGCTCTCAGAAGTTCTAGCCTAACCTAGTGTGCAATCAAGTTGCAGGGAGAGTAAGTAGGCCTGGCTAAGAATGAAGGAGCTGGTGACTAAGGGAGCAGGGACCAGTGCAAGGGCTTTTGGATTCAATGAGCAGCCTTTGTACAATATTTGGCTCGATGTCACTCTGAAACTCCAGCATTAACTTCTGCAACAACACCCTAAAGGAAGCTAGCCTTAGTTCTCTCTCTAAATTAATGACCCTCAAAATATAAATCTCTAGAGGAGTTCTCTGATATACTCTATTTCATCTTTGAATTCCACCTGGAGACTGACAGTAATGAAAGGCCCTCACTGTCAGTGTTCCCAAAGTTTGGCTCATATCCAAAGCCTTCCTGTAGAGTTGGTTGTCTCTTCTTTATAACTTAGTTCAAGTACTATTTTTAAAGGAGCACCTATTTCCTGACTTACTTATCTAAAGGGCCTCCCTCTGTTTCTGGCTATTTTCCCTTCCAAAAACCGAGCTATCATCATCTCTACATCCTCTACAGGTACTGGTCAAGCCATGTGAACAGAACGTCTTATTCTAAACCCTCTGCTGAGGCCTTCAAAGCCTACCATCCCCCACAGCTTCTCTACTGTTCTCTCCACTTACAGGAAGAGCTAAACTCCATTTCCCATCAAACTGATTAACTGTAACACAGGGTAGACTGAGGTTATGAGGACTGTCCTCCACATACAGGCTAATGAAACAACACAGATAAAATGAGAAAAGCCTTAAAATTGCAAAGGTGAGGGATGGGACAATTCGGAGTATAACGTCCAGTGTTTTTGGCTGTGGGCTTATTTCAGGAGTTCAGACTTTATCCTGTGTGTTACTCCTATAAAGAAAGCAGCCCAGCTGCAATGCTCCTTGGCACCGGCCGAAATCAAAGCTCCTCAAAAATCCTAAAGTCAAAGGCTCTCAGAAGTTCTAGCCTAACCTGGTGTGCAATCAAGTTGCAGGGAGAGTAAGTAGGCCTGGCTAAGAATGAAGGAGCTGGTGACTAAGGGAGCAGGGACCAGTGCAAGGGCTTTTGGATTCAATGAGCAGCCTTTGTACAATATTTGGCTCGATGTCACTCTGAAACTCCAGCATTAACTTCTGCAACAACACCCTAAAGGAAGCTAGCCTTAGTTCTCTCTCTAAATTAATGACCCTCAAAATATAAATCTCTAGAGGAGTTCTCTGATATACTCTATTTCATCTTTGAATTCCACCTGGAGACTGACAGTCATGAAAGGCCCTCACTGTCAGTGTTCCCAAAGTTTGGCTCATATCCAAAGTCTTCCTGTAGAGTTGGTTGTCTCTTCTTTATAACTTAGTTCAAGTACTATTTTTAAAGGAGCACCTATTTCCTGACTTACTTATCTAAAGGGCCTCCCTCTGTTTCTGGCTATTTTCCCTTCCAAAAGCCGAGCTATCATCATCTCTACATCCTCTACAGGTAGTGGTCCAGCCATGTGAACAGAACGTCTTCTTCTAAACCCTCTGCTGAGGCCTTCAAAGCCTACCATCCCCCACAGCTTTTCTACTGTTCTCTCCACTTACAGGAAGAGCTAAACTCCATTTCCCATCAAACTGATTAACTTTAACACGGGGTAGACTGAGGTTATGAGGACTGTCCTCCACATACAGGCTAATGAAACAGCAGAGATGAAATGAGAAAAGCCTTAAAATTGCAAAGGTGAGGGATGGGACAATTCGGAGTACAACACCCAATTTTCTGGAGGCCACAGATGACTTTTAGGTAAATGAGGTCATGTAACACCCCACAGGTCAACATTCTCTGCCCACAGTGTTATTCCTTGACTGCTACCACATCTAGATTCTGACTTCTTACCTATTCTGAGCAGCATAGATACTGGCCAGCTTCAGGGAAATTTCAATTATTGCGTTGTCTTCCTGTTGGGAGAAAAAAAAATTCATGACAAGTAAAATTTCTTCATGGAATACTTCATATCAACTTCTAGACTGACTTTGGCTTCAAAGCCACAGTTTATTCTTTTAGAAGAAATAGCCAAATGTGAATTCCTCAGCAACCATGCTTTTGAAATAATGAAAGATGAGCCATTTTCATAGAGGTCTACAAGCAAAAAAAAAAATCTACCTCTTTTGGTCAAAGCAATGTGTTGGGGGGATGGGGAAGTTTTCAGAAAATGTGACTATTCTGGAAATTGCTTCACTGAAGGACCAGTAGTACAATGTCCTTACCTGCTTCATACCCCCTCCAAGCAGGTAACTCATTGTTGCCTTAAAAAGTTGTTCTGCCTAAAAGCATAAAGAAAAGATTTTTCTTTTATTTGGACCCCATTATGTGTATGATCCTGAATTTTAAGTACCAGTCTGATGTATCATTCCTTGTAAATACATGCACTAATAAATACAGAAACTAGTACTCCCATGCAAGGAGAATGGACCAAAATATCAGGATCCCACATCCTGCGTACTTTAAGCTACTCTGATGAGAAGAAACTGATTCACAGACTAACTTCTCATCCAAATCATTGTGGAAGAGACTGCTAATTTTCCCAATATTCCATTCTCTTATCATTTGTTATAAAATCCTCTCAATTAGCAGATCAGCTTCCTTTTAACTAGTTATGATCGTATAAAGTTCTGGCCAAGAACTGCAGGTAGAGGAATATGAACAACTTTTAAACCATGTTGCAAAAGGACTCTGCTTGCTCTTCATCCTCTCTCTTCCCATACGGCTGGAAGTGAACCACCTCACCCATGCACAGGAGGACCTATCTTAGGAAAAAAACTAGCTTCTGGACCAGACAGTAGAAATGCCGAACCTGCCCTTCAGTCTTAGCCTACCCTAAAGTATTAAAAAAGAAATACACTATTAAAAAAAAAAACAAAAACACTATATTGTGAGGGTCTCTTTGTGATAGGAGCTGAGCCTATACCCTTACTGTGCTACAGTTCCTTTGAGGTTAGTATTTCACAAATTCAAGATATTACAAGATGATTTACTTACATTTTCAAGCTGACCTCGTATAAATGCTAAGTTGGCCATCTGAAAGTAAATTATAAATTGTCCAGTTTAAAACATTGTGTTTTTTACTTATTCAAAAACCTTTAAGCTAAGAACTTCCTTCTGCTTTCACCCCTAAATTGATAGTTCAAAGTGGAGAAAGTACATCACCCATTAATCTGCTAGCAGCTCAGTTCAGCAATGGGGGGAGAGGTAAGTACTTTGTTGGATAACCAAATCTAGGTGTACTCATAATTGAAGCAACAACTGAGATGTTTTAGACCCTGCCAGGGACTAAAAATAAAAGCACTTAGGATTTCATCATCCTAAACATCAGGAATATAAATCAACAAAGAAAAGACCCTTCCGGGGGCCAGGGATTTGGCTCAGAGGTTCCACCACCTGCCTGAGAGGTAAGTACTTTGTTGGATAACCAAATCTAGGTGTACTCATAATTGAAGCAACAACTGAGATGTTTTAGACCCTGCCAGGGACTAAAAATAAAAGCACTTAGGATTTCATCATCCTAAACATCAGGAATATAAATCAACAAAGAAAAGACCCTTCCGGGGGCCAGGGATTTGGCTCAGAGGTTCCACCACCTGCCTTGCAAGCGCAAGGACCCGAGTTTGATCCCTGGTACCAAAAAAAAAAAAGAAAGAAAAGACCCTTCCACAGCATCCATCCTTCTACATCAGTAGTTCAGAATGGTAAGAAAGTTACCAAATCATAAGTGTAAGTGATGGCCTTCTTGTTATCACTCTGATAGGCAAGGCGGAGAGCGTCATGCAAAATTAGCTCAGCCTCTTCTGGCTCATCTTTCATGATGCTCAACTAAAAAAAAGAAGATAAAATAATACTAAGTCAAATATAAGCATAGTAGATGCAAGGGCTGTAAGACATTAGTAGATATAGCTATATATCCCAACATGTAGAAAGAAGCTATTCATCAGATCTTTGCTGAATGCCTACTATGCAGGAGGCATTGTTTACAAAGGTGACAAAGGAAGGCAGTCTCCCATGCAGCAAAGTGTGGCCACATAATGATGTTTTGCCCAACAGACGCAGGCAGAAGGAATGTGCACAATCTTTACATTATATTTCATAAGGAAACTGCTTGCCCTTCATCCTGTTCTTCTCTTCCTGAAGGCTCGAGGAGATCCTGTGGGAAAAGTAAGCTTGATTACAATTCATGATAAGAGTTATAAAGATAAACAGAGGAAGGGATTGAGGGTCTCCTCAAACAGGAATCAGAAAAATCAAAGAAGGTGAGTTAAACTAAGGAGAATGAAAATGAGTCAACTAAATAAGGAACTGAAGCAGAGACAGTCCCAAAGAGAATGAATGAACCCTTACAGGCCCAAGAGAATGGTTCTTTAGAATACAAGGAAAGAGATTTTAAAAAATGATGATTACCCTGAGGGTTAGCGCAAAATGGGTGGGTGAGAAAGGCTGTTTTAAATTAAGTAGGGTTTTGTAGATCACAGAAGGAATTTTAGATTTTATGCTAACTGTAGTGGGAATTCAGTTTTCAGGTGAGAAGGTGATATAATCTCATTTACATTTTTAAAAACATCACTTAGACTGCTGTATGCAGAATGGATTGTAGGGGAGAAGAGGGCAGCACAGACTACCAGAACTGCATGTTTGCACTGAGGTCAGGACAGCAGGGGAAACAGAGAAAAGAACAGATTTGAGAAACATTTTTGGATTTGGTGGCACTAAATTATTGGAAGAATAATTTGTATTGTGTATTGGAAGAATATGTTAAGGTACAAGTTTAAGAATGCCTATAAGGCCAGGCACAGTGTAGCATTCCTGTAATCCCAGCACTCGGGGAGACTGAGGCAGGAGGATCACTATGAGTTCGAGGCCAGCCTGGGCCACATAGTGACTTCAAGACCAGTCTGAAATACATAGTGGTCCCTATCTCAAAAAACAAGAACAAAAAAGATTGACTATGAGGTTTCTAGGCCAAGAAACTGAAGGTAGTAAACAGAAGATGATGAAAGAATGTTTGGGGGAGGCATTTAAGATCAAGAGTTTAGTTCTGGGGGCTGGGGATTTAGTTCAGTGGTTCCACCGCCTGCCTCACAAGCGCAAGGTCCCAAGTTTGATCCTCGGTACCCCCTCCAAAAAAGAGTTTAGTTTTGAGCACACGAGTCTGGAAAGTAATTGCGAGCCTTTCAGGGGAGATAGCATGTCAGCAGCACACTGAGAATACCATTTTGGACTTGGATGGCATCAAGTTGGTATTTAGCCCAATGAAAAGATGAGCTATTCTAAAGGGGAGGAGACAGGATGTGAAGGAAAGAACTTAGGAAAGAAGCAAGCTGTACAATCAACACCAAATTGCCTTTTCAGGATACCACTATACAGTATGTACAAAATAATGTCCCTTCAGGTTGGCTAACTGTTAAGCACAACTACAAAACATTCTCCCTAATTTGGCTGACAGGGCGATGCCTAAAGGGCCGTCTCCATCCGCACTTAAGACTGCAGCAGTTTTGCTGCAGGCTTCAGAGACAGACTGGCCTGGATGGATCCCAACGCCCATCCCATACCAATGACCCATCTAATTCTGGGCAATTTTACTCTCGCAATCATTATCACGCTTCGGTAAACTAAAGGGAGTAATGCGCAGCAGCAAAGCCGCCACATATAGGCCACAAAGACTCCGCGCTCGCCGAGCCGCCTCACCTTAGCTCGTTTCAGCAGCTGGATGATCTCCGCCTCGGCTTCATCCGCTGCGTCCTCGGCGGTGGCCCCGCCTGCTCCCTGCTGCTCCTCCTCGTCCGCTGCAGCAGGCCTCGAGAACCAGGCGAGCGCTGCGGGAAGGGGCTCTGAAGTCACCGGACCCGGCCTGCGCCCCTGTCCCCCGCCCGACTGGCCCTGCCCGGCATGCGCCC